TAATGAAAGTTTAACGAACTTAGAATAAGTTTCCCCCGTATTGATGAGGACGTTTATAGGTAATCGTTGATCAACTGGCGAATGCGTCAGGGTAAAACAGGGCGTCCCACTCAAAACGGATTTTTCTGTAGCTCTGGATATACAGAGTCTTTCAGAAAGACCTCCTGTAAATACAGGGGGTGATAGTACGACAAAAAATAAGAATTTTTTTTTGTCTTATGAACTATGTGTATCTCCTCTTGTTTTCGAGATGCAGAGCGACAAAATAAAATTTTTTATAAAGAATTTTTACGAAAATTTCCAAACGGTGCGAAATATTTTCATGAAATTTGGTATTCCGGGGTTTCTAAGGATGCCAAATACGCTGATCCAATTATTTTTTTGTATATTTCATAGAGGGCACTAGTTATGCTACATTCCTATTACATTTTCATTTCTAATAATAATAAAGTCTCAAATTATTTAGTCAATAGGTCACCACCTTGAGCTCCAGATTTGAGTCTGCGGTCCAGGACACCAGGACATCAGAGACCCGTATGCTGCCGAACACCAGGCAACCTTGAGAAATATACCAGTGAGATTTTTGTGTGCCTTTTATTTTATTTTCTCCAATCCCGACTTATAGGGAGAGGAAACGTTAGGGGGTTGTTTGGTTATTTTTTGTGTAGGTTGGCGCCCTTTTAATATCTTTTATCTTCCCCTTAACGTTCTCCTCAAACTGATAAATATATATGTTGTGAATCAATTATTAGAACCGACCCATTACCCATTGCCGCCGCTATTAGAGCTGCCGTTCGCACTTTATAGTTTGAACCCAGAAAAAAACAATTACGTGGTAATCTATCTACCGACATTATATTATAAGGGCTTACTTAATCCTAATATGGAATATAAAATATTAAACGATATGAGCTTGTATCCCTTTTTCATTTTATTACATCACGCCCTTATATAAAATTATATACGTTTTATTACATTGTTAAGGTTTTGTATACATGACGGTCATGCACTTTTACACGTGCATAGGGCGATTACTTTGTTCTTGTAGTCATAAAATTCTCGAATATTATGAATGAAATGGTACTACAATTTTTACTACCTAGATATAGAGACATATATAGAGGAATATTGTGGTTGTTTGTTAGATGAAACAAGACACTTTTTTCCAACTTACGCGGGACATCCTGTAAGTCCCGTCATGCGGTGCTGATCAGGACGTTTATTGGTAACCATTGATGAATCGTCGAAAGCGTCGCGTCGGGCAAATAAATAAACATTAGTCTTTCTCTCTGTTTGTATTCTTCGTTTTTATTTGCATGCTCTTATTACGTACATGCGCACAAATTGTTTATCTCGTTTTTTATTTCGTGCTATGGAATTAAGGTGTAATAGCCAATAATGATTACATAACGGTAGGGAAAGGGGTGCCTGAATATTTTAATGCCAACCGGAACAAATTGAACACATACAGGTATAAAGGACCCCGCAATAATCTTATGGAAATTGGGTTTCTGTCAAATTGTCTGAATTTTTGATATGTTGTAGATTTTGTCATCCTGAACAAAAGTCTCTATGGGCACAAAGTGCCAAAATGAACATTTTGTCAGCTACGGAGCTGCCAAAGCTCCCCTGACCCGTTGCAAAACTATTCATTTTCAATACTATTTACAGCTGTTAAAAGCATATTTTAATTATTCTAATATATAGGGTAATGTTTTTGAGGTCACTGGATTCAACCCTCATGTCAGATTGGACAAATTGACCGTTAACAGCTGCCAATACACTGTCAACGAAGAATAGAAAAGTAAATATTCTCTTTTCACATTGAGAGTGACGTTGTGCTTTCAAATATGGGTCACTTACAAACATGTGTACCCACACACCCCCCTGCCAGTATGGATGCCATCACGGAATTTGCAGTCGGTCAGGGAAACGGACCCTTCTGCCGGACCTAGTGGTAATTGCCTTGGGTGTGGTTGGCATGGATAATGGGGCAGAAGTTGATGGAAGGCTATTGTTCTCGTTCCTAGTATCTGTCGCATCATTCAAACAATACGCCGGTTTGACTCTGTCTATGGACACTTTAACTTTGCGACCTTGTACTAGCACCGTGAATGTTTTGTCGTCGCGTTTAATCACTGTAAACGGACCATCATATGGGTTCTGTAGTTGTATTTTAACGCCGTCCGCACGCACAAACACATGTGTCGCTGTTGCCAAGTCTTTAAAAACGAATGGCGTCTTGTCGCCATGGCGTTTAACTGCGGCTGGACGTAAGCTTTCCATATGATGTCTGAGGTCCTTAACAAAATTCGCTTCGGTGCTGAGCTCGTCGTTTGTCCTGCGGGAATGAAGAAATTCTCCGGGTAGGCGTAGATGTTGTCCGTACACCATCTCGGCCGCGGTAGCTTGAATGTCTTCTTTCCATGCTGCACGTATTCCCAATAGCACAGTGGGAAGAATGCTAGTCCATCGATCGTTTTGGTGGCATTTTATTGCTGCTTTTAGTTGGCGGTGAAAACGCTCTACCATGCCATTTGCTGCTGGGTGATATGCGGTGGTTCGGAGATGAGTCGTACCTAGTAAACTATTCAGGCGTTTGAATAGGTGCGATTCGAACTGTCGACCCTGATCCGTTGTTATTCGCAGGGGTGATCCAAATCTGCATATCCAATTCGCATATAAGGCGCGAGCTACAGTTTCTGCCTCCTGGTTCTCTAGCGGGATTGCTTCTGGCCACCTGGTGAAACGGTCTACGCAGGTTAAGCAGTAGCGGTAGCCCTCGGATGGCGGCATCACAACGATATCCACGTGGATATGTTCAAATCTCGTTGACGAAGGTTGAAATGAACCTGTCGGAGAAGTCACGTGTCGTGTTACTTTTGCGCGTTGACATTCGACGCAGCAACGTGCCCATTGTCTGCTATCACGCTTTATTGACGGCCAGACGAAGCGTTGCGTAAGGAGTTTGACTGTGGCGTTAATTCCGGGATGCGAAAGACCATGCATCGAGTCGAACACTACTCTACGAAATGGCTTGGTGATAAACGGCCGGGCCACGTCCGTAGATACGTCACAAAATACAGTCGCGTTCGTGTCAGGTATTTTGATCCGCTTGAGTGTGAGGCCGTGTTGTCCGTCGATGTACTCCTTGATTTCGTCGTCATTTTGTTGCGATGCTGCGAGTGCCTCATAGTCTAAAGTCGCGCGTATTTCGTTTACCCTGGACAAGGCATCCGCTACAACGTTCTCGCGACCAGCCATGTGACGAATGTCTGTCGTAAACTGGCCAATGAAGTCTAGATAGCGGAATTGTCGCGGTGTACACTGACTCGACTTTTTCGCGAAGGCAAACGTGAGAGGCTTATGATCGGTGTAAATCGTAAATGTTCTTGCCTCGACCATATGCCGGAAGTATTTAACTGCTTCGTAAATCGCAAGAAGTTCGCGGTCGTAAGCAGCGTATTTGCACTGAGCTGGGTTAAGTTTTTTCGAGAAATACCCTAGCGGTTCCCAATCGTCCTCAACTTTTTGTTGCACTACGGCACCAATTGCAAAGTCAGAAGCGTCACACACTAGAGCAATTTGCGTATTTTCGCCGGGGTGCGCGAGTAGAGCTGCCTGTGCTAAGCTCTCTTTCGCCGCTTCGAAAGCACTTTTCGCGTTTTCTGTCCAATTTATGGGTGCTTTCCCTTTCACATCCCCTTTAAGCAGGTCATTCAGTGGCGCCTGGGTACCTGCTGCGTTGGGTACGAACCGGCGGTAAAAGTTAAGTGCGCCAAGGAATTGTCGTAATTGCTTTATTGTCGTAGGCAGCGGGTAGTCTTTTATTGCCTCGACCTTTTCGGGAAGCGGCCGTGTGCCCTCACTTGACACCAGATAACCGAGGAATTTCACTTTGCTTTGTCCGAACACGCACTTTGTGGAGTTAATTACGACGCCGTACTGCCGCAGTCGCTGGAACAGTGTTTCCAGGTGACGCAGGTGTTCCTCTTCAGACGATGAAGCTACAAGGATGTCGTCGATGTACGCGTAGCAGAAATCTAAGTCGCGTAAAACTTCGTCGATGAAGCGTTGGAAGGTTTGAGCTGCATTGCGTAACCCAAAGGTCATATGCGTGAACTCAAATAACCCGAAAGGTGTGGTGATCGCCGTCTTAGGAATGTCTTCTTCCGCGACGGGGATTTGGTGAAAAGCGCGAATCAGGTCGATGGTCGAAAATAATTTCCTACCTCGAAGTGATTGTGCAAAGTCCTGAATATGTCGCACAGGATATAGGTCTGGACGCGTTCGTGCGTTAAGCCTACGATAATCGCCACATGGTCGCCATTCTTCACCCTTTTTTGGCACGAGGTGTAAGGGTGACGCCCACGCACTGCTCGAAGGACGGGCGATACCTAATTTTAGCATATCGTCGAATTCCTTTTTCGCTGCTCGCAATTTGTCTGGCGCTAATCTACGCGGTTTCTCAGCGACGGGGGGACCAGGTGTTGTTTCGATGTAGTGCCTGGTTTGGTGTTGTACAGCCGCAGAAGGAGCTGCAGGACGCGTAATGTCCGAATACTTCTTGAGTAGGCGATGGAACACGGATTCCCCGGAAATTGTTTTCACTGAGGGTGTCGCAGAATGCGCGAGTTGGCCTGGAGACGTAATTCGCGTTGTTTCGTCAAGCAACCTTTTGTTGCGCACGTCCACCAGTAGTCCATAAAAAGATAAAAAGTCTGCACCAATTATCGGTTTTGAGACGTCTGCGACGACAAATTGCCATGTAAAACAACGACGCAACCGGAGGTTTAATGTCATTGTCACTGTGCCGTACGTAGCAATTGAGGTACCATTTGCCGCGGAAAGTTCATACGTTGATTTCGATCGCGACGATTTCACTAGCGCACGCGGATATACACAAAGATCAGCACCCGTATCGATGAGAAACTGGACCTTGGAGTACGTATCCGTAACGTACAAACGGCGCGGAATCGGGCACGGGTCGCTGTTCGCCATCACCGACTGCCCGTCTCGTTTCCCGGACGATACGTGCACGGATCGCGGCACACGCGAGCGCGGTCACCAAAACGTTGGTGATACCAGCACTGACCACTGTCACTGTCACGGCTTCGCGATCGGTCTTGCGAACGCGATCTGTGTGTTCTCGTCGTCGGTCGTCGCGGTTCACTCGCGAATAGCTTCGCCATTGCCTGCGACATCTCCACTAACTGCTGCTCGATGCGATTCAGCCTGTCGTCTTTTGGATTGGATTTGGCCACCTCCTGGAGCGCTGTGCCGGGCATTACTGTCTCCATAACTGCGTCGGCCACCTCCGCGACGTCGTCCAACGCGGCATTCTTCTGTGTCGCGAGAATTGCCTGGACGCTAGACGGCAGACGCCCTGTCCACAGCGTGCGTAGGAGCGAATCGGGAACGGTAGACCCTGCTAAAGCCTTTAATCTTCGCAAAAACTGGGACGGTTTCGAGTCCCCGATTTCTTCGCGCTCTAGGAGTCGCCTCGTTTTTTGTTCCTGAGACGTACTCAGTCGTCTTATTAAAGCTGCCCTAAGTGCGGAATAAGGCTTTTCTCGGGGTGGATTCATTAACAGGTCGCGCACTTCACTCATCACGTTCCTATCTAGAGCAGTAACGAGGTAATCAAACTTTGCCTCTTCATTTGTCACACGCGCTATTCGAAAACTTCTGTCCACTACCTGAACCCACATCTCTACATCGTCCGAAATAAATGGTGGAAGTTTCACTGCCACATGGTTCACTTCCGTCGCGGCATAATTTTCGACTTGGTTTTCTTCGTTGAGGCTCATGTTGCTTGCTGCGTTGCGCGAACTAAAACCACTCTAATTGCATAAATTCGCGTACTTTCTTTGAAAAGATCACGTCGGGGTCACCACTTGAGGGTTGCTTTCGCTGTACAGCAAGAAATAAAACGCTTTCTCAACGGTAATAATAAACTGTTTTATTGAAAACTAAATTGTGGAAAAAGACGTGTTGACGGTTTGAGGGTTAGCTGGAGAGTCCTTGGAGAGTGCCTTGTGTTTGAAGTCGGTCGTTCATGGGTACGCGTCTGGTGACCGGCGCCAGCAGCCCTTCTTGGAACGCTGGTTCGTCTGGCGGCGTCCTGCGGCGCTTTTGACGTTGTGCTTTCAAATATGGGTCACTTACAAACATGTGTACCCACAGAGAGTTTGGGCTTTTAAGGGAGCTGAATTCAATTCTCATGCCAGATTGGCAAAATTGACAGTTGACAGCTGTCAATTGACTGTCAACGAGGAATATAAAAGTAAATATCCTTTTTCACATTGAGAGTTTGGGTTTTTGAGGTCGCTGAATTCAATTCTCATGTCAGATTGGACAAATTGACCGTTGACAGCTGTCAACGGTCAATTTGTCCAATCTGACATGAGGGTTGAATCCAGTGACCTAAAAACATTACCCTATATATTAGAATAATTAAAATATGCTTTTGACATCTGTAAATAGTATTGAAAATGAATAGTTTTGCAACGGGTCAGGGGAGCTTTGGCAGCTCCGTAGCTGCCAAAATGTTCATTTTGGCACTTTGTGCTCATGGAGACTTTTGTTCAGGATGACAAAATCTACAACATATCAAAAATTCAGACAATTTGACAGAAACCCAATTTTCATAAGATTATTGCGGGATCCTTTCTGAAAGGAAGGGACATTGTTTACTATGCCATTTGTTCCAGGTAGGCTGACATGTGAATTTATTTATTCATGGAATAGTTCTAATTTTTTCTTTGTTTAATTGGGTATTTTGTCCTGTGAAAAACTTGAGAAACAAATTAAACAAGCCTTTGCACCAGAAGGATCGATCAGCAAGTGTTGGGTAAAAATGGTTTTATAAAGACAATGTAGAAAAATTAGAGAATAAAACAGAAAAAGATAAATAAATTATGGAAAAAGAAAAGGATACGGTATAGTCTTTATGATATTAATTGAAGAACCAACAGATTGACAGTATGTACGAGGTTCGGTCGCTGACGCAGCAACTCGGCAATGTAATATTTGAAAAACTTGTTCCCATATTTATTTAGCTATACCCATATGCAGGTCTGGACGAACTAAACGTGGAGGCGATATAAATGTATACGCTCAGTTGAAGAATGCGAGCGCGGGCAAAGGTAAACGATCACAGTTGCATTGGGCTACTGGACAATAAATCACAACAGATGACAAGTGGTTGATAAATTGTCTAGCAGTGCAGTGTAGCAATGCGGAATTTGGTGTGATTCAGGTAATTTTTATTTACTATAGGCACCTTCTATCAATCATTCGTATTACAATTGCGAAAGGGAGAACTAAGAGGGATATTTTGTTTACTAATATTATCACAGCATGGCATTTTGGAGACCTTTTGAAACGGAACAAAACGAAATTTACCACCAATATAATAAAAGTGTTCGAGGACATAAATAATTAAAATATGTTGTTGGCCACATGAACATATACTAGAAATTTTCTACATATTATATACAAATTATTATATTGTTTTACCTTTAGCAGAAATTTTTTTTTAGGGGCGCCAATGAAACTCATTAAATTTTATTACCAGATGTTTTTGCATGTTCAACTGACTTCGGAAAGACTATAAACGTAATATTGCATACATATGCAATATGCATATTGCAAACGTTATTGTATTAAAAAGAGTATAATTTTAAGATGTAAGAAGAAATTTACTATTATTGATAGTAAATTCCATATAAAAGAAAAACGAGAACTGAATGAGTAAAAGAAAGTTGTCTAGGTTCAAATAGTGTAAACAGAATCTAAAAAATAACCGTTTTCATAAAACTAGTTATAAGAAGACATCGGAAACTTTGTGGCGACAATCAAATAAATAAACAGTAGTAATCTACATTATGTTAGGAAGCGGCAATACGCGTTGTAGTAGCAGAAATAGACTAACTCTGTGGTCAAGCCGTGTGCCGCTCTATGCTCATGATACGCGGCCAACATCCCTCAGCAAAAAACCTGGTTTGTTCTTCAGCCCGACAGGGCAGGCGTTAGAGTGGAGCTAGATACGTATCGAATAAATTGATCGATGCGTAGCTTCAAATCAGAGGCAGACGTCTACACGTTATTGTACAATGATGCGGATTGTGGGATTACTAAAATGTGAAATAGCTGATGCTTCGCCACCATTAGCAACGGTTAATGGGGGCCACTTTGAACATTTGCTGTAATAAAATAAAAAGTAGTAATTCCTCTATTTTTTTGACAACTGTAACAAGAAAGTAAGTATAACCATATATCGCTGAATTCGTCTTTAGAAGAGCTACATATTTATACTACAAAATATAGAGCGTCCTATTAAAAAATATGTCGGTAATGTTATAGGTCTGTCAAACACGGCTCAAAAAATGAAAAATATTGCAGAAAAGTGGCAATTTCTATTTACTAATTGACCTGTTTCAGCGATTTTTTTAAATTTCAACTGGAAAAAAATATGAATTTTGTTCCATCATTTTGGGACACGGTGTATATTCTTATAATATAAAGAGTGCAGTTTTAAAAAGGCAACGGTTGTGTCACTTTTTGTATGAATTAAATTACATAAAAGAGAACTCGGCCTACAGCCAACTCTGTTATACATTACAGCCGCCCTAACATTTCCGAGTTTAAACACTCAATAAAAACTTGAGTCTTAACATTTATTTTTTAAATAGCCAAATTAATATATTTTCAGCATCTTCAACAGCATCTCTTTGTTTTCTCAAACTAAACCGCTAATACAATTTTCAGTTTCAAATTTAAAAAAATACACCCTACAGTCAATTTTCAGTAACACCAGGTTTATATTATTGCACGTGTCAGTTAAACTTGGCAAGCAAAAATAGATACATGCACAGACTAAAAATATATATGTAAGTAAAAACACAAAAGGGACTTTACTAACCTGATATCGTATATCTTCTTGAATAAATTATCACCTCTACTTAAACTAATAAAATCCCACTTTGTATTTTCAGGGGCAGACATATGAAGCTACATTCATATACGGTTGGTTACGTAAACTTGGACACAGTTTGTATCCTATTAAAATCGATTGATATAATTGGATAACATTAACTATTTGTAGTTGCCCTTTTCAGGAATGTGGTGGAAACTATTCCGAGATCTTATTTCATCATTTACTGGTCATTATAACGTACTACTGCTAGCAGAAACCTTGAAGTATTTCAATACAGAATTAAAGAATGGAAATCTGTGAAAACAGTAGCAAAGTTTATTGTGTTCCAATCTAATTAACAATTTTGTTACGTCTGATAACTACTAAATGAGGAAATGCATTGTAAGTCTGTAACTGGCAGCGATTAGGTACATATTATGGTACTTTAAAAGTTAGACAATAGAATTAATTATAAGTATTGATATTTATCAAACCATCTTTAACTATACTGATTACCTCATAAAAAGTGTGAAATATAAAAATTATAATAATTTTTAGGAATTTTAAAGAAAGATGTGCAGCAAAATATTGTCCCAAGACACGAGTTTTCTAATCAATTGTTAAAAATAGTGACAAGAGGACCATTTTATAAGATTACTTAATGATTTGTAAGATGAATCTCTAAAAGTGTTATTTTATTTTTATGCGCAGAATTTTTTCCAGTTTGGAGTTATTCAGGTAAACACAATCGAAGTTTAATCAACTCACCTTCGTCCAAAAATGATTCCTTTAAAAATCTCTAAATATGCTCTACATAATAAATTGTTTGACTTTACTTTATAGGATCTTTCAAAATAAAAAAAATATTTGGAAAAGCTTATTATTTTAGTTTAGGTATAATAAAGTAAAAAAAAAACAATTTTCTCTTCACATAAGACCAAACATACTCCAGTAGATCAATCAAAAAAGTGACTGGGAAGTAGTGACGTCAAGTTAGCAAATTACAAATAAGTGTCTTTACGACTTTTTCTACTGCCCACGAAAATCTAGACGACCTATCGGTATATTAGTTATTTTATGTTGTAGGCAATTAAATTACCTACAATTTAAGATACCTAGAGTAATTTTTTACCAATTTGTTAACCTGTAAAATAAAGGTTGAGCATGGAAATATCAGTTTTCGAAAATTGTGCATTATTGCAAAAACAGATGGATGTTGATGAAATTTATGGAAAAGACCAACATGTGTGCCAAACACTGATTCAATTGACATTGAAATTGTTGCTCTAGCTATTTGTGAATTAATTTCGTTTTTTTTTTTTACAACTTATTGTTTAATTACCAAAACCGCTCGGGAATTCGATCTTTTTGCATTAAATACAGCTTATTTTTATGAAAATAAAAAAAAGAGAAATCACTTATTCTTTGTTCCCAAGATAACTTTTTTTATAATGTTAATCGTTATAGTTATTAACGATACAAGGCCGATAACAAGTAAATAACGTGCGAGGTTGAGTTTTTAATCCGTAGCGTAGCCGAGGTTTATAATCAACCGAAGACGTTATTTACGTATCGGCCGTGTGTCGTTCAACGGTTTTCGTTACACCAGTTTCATTCATTTCATTTATCATTTCATTTAAAAAGCAAGTTTGACAAATAATTGACAAATAATATGGACATGCCAGAGAAATAAAAACATCAAGTTACAAAGCGTTTGCTAGGTAATAAGTGTGTTTCTATTGTAGAAAAATAAATCTTAACCGCCGACGTCCGTTAAGGATTCTTAACGGATGCCGGCCGTTAAGGACCGGTTATCGTATCTATTTTGGGGTATGTTAAATGAAAATAACAGTATGGTGTAACTTGAAGTTTTTAATGCAAAAAGAGTGA